CGGGGGCTGCTGGGAGTTGTAGTCCAGCGGGCCCTTCTCCTTCCTCCTCCTCCTCCTCCTCCCGGCACCGGCCCCGCGGGTGCCGCTCCCGGGGCACGGGAAATATCCCCATATCCCTCCTCCTCTTTGCTACCGCGCGAGCAGATATCCCTGCGCGTTCCCAGGCGTCTATTTTTAAAATATATTCCCAGTTGCTAGGGTTTTCTTAATGAAAACAAAGTGTGTTTTTTTTCCCAGACACAACCCGCACCTCCGGGAAGGTGCAACTGCCGAAGCCGTGTCCATCCCGGTGCCGCCTGCCCAGACCCGATGCCCCGTGAGCGGAATTGGGGTCCGGCTGTGTGAAAATGGGGCGCTCAGTTACCTGCGTGCCAAGGAAATGCTGGATTTATGGCCTTGGCACGCTGGGAAAGGTCGGTCCCACTCCCATGGGAAACACGAAGCTCACACCGGAAAACCCAGGCATTGCTCCGGGAAGGTCACTCCAGATTGACAAAATACCTAAGTCCCCCTTTTGCCCCGACTTGGATTTTTGCTCAAGAGTCAGATTCAGCCACCCAGACTCTGCACCGCAACAATACGGAGCAGGGAGCAACTTCTCCAGGCGCCAAATCCCACCCTGGGCTGCACGTGGGATATCAGCTCGGGAGCTGCGGCCGGGAAAGGCCGAGGCAGCGTGTCCAGGGCTTGGCCCCCATGCGGAGCGGGATGCAGGAGGGAAGGGAAGGAGAAATTCAAACGTGCAAGAAATAATTAATAAAATAATCAATATAAATAAAAGAAATAATAAAACAGTCACTATGAATAATAAAATAAATAGAATTAATAGAAATAATACAAACAATATAAATAATAAAAATAAATAGCAAAAATGAAATAAAATCATAATGAGTAAGAAAAATAATAATTTAATAAAAATAAGTAAGAAAATGATAAAAATAATTAATAAAATACTAAAATAAATAATACCATAATGAAAATAATTAATAAAAGTAATTAATAAAAATGACTAATAATCACAATGAATGCCCATCCTTAACGCTACGCAAAGATGCGCATTTTGAAAATAAAACGAGCAGGGAGGACCCGACCGAGCCCCGAGCGCGGCGGGGCCGGGGC